GAATCTTATGGATGAAATCAACTCTGATTTCATATATAAGATGTTGTACACTTTGTGAATATATGTATATTCAAACAAATGTACCAAACATAATCCATAAGTTATAAACTTTCTGAAATTAAGGTAATCTTTCTTGATATTATATGTTCAGAAGTTGTGAACTTTTTGAAAGTATGGAATTCAGACTTAAAGCTTTAGAAGTCGTGCTCTCCTAAAAGGAAGTTAAAATCAACATTCTGATGCATGCTCTGATACAAAGATGCCACTCAGAAGATGTGCTCTGATACGTGTGCTTCTATAATATATGTTCTATTCAGAAGTTGTGAACTGTCTGAATGTGTAATATATTGGAAAATATCATGTCAAACGCTGATGCTTAAGAAGTAGTGAACTTTTCCAAAAGTATAGTGTTTTGGTTGTGATATTAGAATAAAAAAATATAAGTGTTGATACATGATGCGTGACATTATTCAATCATGCTCAAAATCAAGTTTTGATTTTTCATCAAGTTCTGATAGTAACCAGGTTCTGAGATGAAGACTAGGTGTTCTAGTCAGACTCTGATGAAATGTTGTAGGGAAATGTTCCTTTTCTATTTCTATGTTATGAAAACTCAAAATTTATTTTGTGAGACTTCTACTCAGGGGAGGACTCTGAACAAGCATAAATGAAATTTTGGAATTAATAGATTCAGGGGAGCTATGAGCTTAACTCTGAATTTGTCGATTATGGTGATTACCTTGTATAAATTGTTCTATCAAAATACACGGTTTTGTCATCATAAAAAAGGAAGAGATTGCAAGAACAAGAAGTGTTTCTACATTTGGCCTTAAGGTTTTGATGATAACTTTACATGATATCATAAAAAACAATTTTATACTTTAATGGTTTTGTTCTAGTGTGTAGTTGCTGCTGTAATGTTCTAACTCTGGTATCAATGTGTGTGACCTCATCAGGTTCTGAACATAAACACTACTGAAAGTAAACATTTGGTTACATGTTACAGTTGAAGTCAAGATTATGGAATTCATCTTATGCAATTATTCTTAGGAATGTTAGTACAAGAGGTTCAAATTGTGACTTTGTGGTTAAGCTTTGGAGGTCTTCTAAAGCTTTGCTTCTATGTGTTCCAAGTTATAAATATTATGAAGACGAGGTTTTATTGAACAAGTTCTGATGATCCAAAGAAAAACAAGTTTTTACGACCAAGTGCTTAAGACTTTGAAGACATGGTTCTGACGCGACAAGTTTTGAAGACTCAAAGACTTAGGTTCTAAGACTTAAGAGTGATTCTTCTAGAATAAGCTTCAAACATTCAAATTATCTGAAGCCACCGAAGACTAGAACAAGTTCAAAATAGTTAACGTGTGATGGTGCACAAAAGGTACAAAAGTGCTCAGTTACCTCTACCCTCTAAGGTGGCGTAAGGATAGTCCTTTCGTACTATACTGTGTACCACTCTCATTGTAACCGTTGGGAACAAGCAACTGGATTTCTTATTACCTTTCTACCCCTTCAACAAATTTCTTTTACTAGCTATAAAATGAAGACTTAGAAGCTGAAGAAAGGAAAGAATCAACCTTACAACGAAAAAATCTACCAGATTAAATCAATCTCAACAAAACTACACAAAGCGTTGTGCAACCCTTTAGAGAAATCTTTTGTGTATAGTTTTGTAAATAGGCAAGGAGTTGTTTCTCGTATCTTGCTGTAAAACACTTAGGTGTTTTTCTTTATACTAAAATGTTTGTGTAATTTGCTTAAAAGAAGCAAACTGAAATACACTGAAAGCATTCAACGATTGTTGATTGACTCCTTGAGTGACCAAGTAAAGGTCAGATCTCAAGAAGACTCTTACTGCGATTTAAGTGGATTTGCAATAAGGATTGACTAACTTATTGGGGGTGCCAATAAGGTTGATCAGACTTATTGTGATTGGCTGTAATCGATTTGGTTATAATGAATTAAGTCCTTGTTGAAGGCAAAATCACCTTGAGGGATGAACTGAAGTAGCCTAGTTAACAGTGAACCAGGATAAAAATAATTGTGTTTATTTTTTATTTTATGTTTCAAGTTAACTTGGTCTTTCATCAACGAAAAAGATTTAAAATTATTATGGTGAAACCCAATTCAAACCCCCTTTCTTGTGTTTCTCACACCTTCACTAATTCCCCTATTACTCAACCTATTATCATATTTTGTAAACGGGGAATATCCAAACTCAAATTTAAACTCAATCAAAATGGATTTTCTCCGTCAAACTTAAAACGGTTTGGATAAATACTACGATTATTAGGGGTGTTCGCGGTGCAGTTTTGATGCTAAAAGTCATCAGAATCGCAAGAGAAAAAGACGTACAATTTGGTTTGGTTCAATTGGCTTTTAGAAAAAAATTGAACCAAACCAATGCGGTTTGTTTTGGTTCGGTTGATTCGGTTTTTTACAAATATTTTATTGAGTCATACATATACATATAAATGATAGCATAATTTTGTATTTAGTCATTCATACACTACCAAATAACAACAAAACTAATCATATTTGGACAACAATTTCTCATTTAATATGTAAAAATTAGATTAAACAAAAATGGAATAATAAACATAAAATAATAGTATAAAACAATATAAAAATATTATAATGAAACAAAAGAGTAGAAGAGACGGGGGGACTAATGAAGATGAAAAAGAAAGAACATAAGAGATGAAAGACTAGAGAAGAAGATATGCAATAAAAATAAAATTGAAAGAGACAACATTTGTATAAAAATGAGAAGGTGAAAAAAAAGAATACAAGAGAGTATATATATTAGAGAAGAAGAGACAAGATGTATGTGGCAAAGATGACACCATAATTCTATGAGAGATTTGAGAAAATTAAAACTGAATCCATAAATGCAAAGATGAGAAAATTATTCGTAATCATAAGATTAATGTATAATAGATTTAAGTTTGAGATGAATGTAAATTAAGTAAAATTTAAGTTGTAAAATAATGCAGTTTGTTTTGACTTATAAAATATAAATCGTAAATCGAACCGAACCATACAATTTTATTAAAAGATAATCTAAACAAATCTAAACTAAATACAATTTTTTACACTTCGATTTAATTTGATTTATGATTTTCTATTAAACTAGTTTAATTTTGAACACTACTTAGAAATACGAGTTATGTTGCGATACATATGTATATAGGTTAATAATATCAACCGACAACATATTTATATTTGTAAAGTTTCAATATACTATGTGAAAAGTGGAAAGAGAAAATCTCTTTATATTTATATTTGTAAAGTTTCAATATACTATGTGAAAAGTGGAAAGAGAAAATCTCTTTAAAATATTACTAGTTTGCATAGAATATAAGCATAAATTCTCCGAGATTTGAGAGATATTGATCGGATCCTACGAGGCACAAAATTCCCTTTTATGCTTCACAATCCCCAAAATTTACTTCTTTATTTACCCTAATTATTTTATTGATTACCCAAAAAAAGTGCTTTTTCTATTCACTTCTCAAAACCCCATTTCCCAAATCCCAGAAACATCACCGGTTTTTCAATTCTCAACCCAAACAAGAGAGAGAAAGTAGAAAAAAACAAACCTTTTTTTAGAGAGAGAAAGTAAGCACAGCCCTAGAATTTATGCAACCAGATAAGGACTTTTGTGTAGCTCATACACTACACTGGATAGTTAGTGAGAGAAAAAAAGCATTCTTTTTTCCATTTTAATAATAATCCTTTTTCTCTTTTCCATTGTTGCTGAGTAATTTGCACTCTTCACTTCTCCAAGGGCAGAAAAATCATAGCTTTTTTTGATATTTTTTACAATCATCAGGTTCAATTTCTTCATAGGTGGAATTGGTGATGTGCAATAACATACCCTTTTGATCTTGCCTACAAAATGTATGTATAATTTCTCTAACTTTCTCTTTTTTTATTATATTTCCATCTTGCATGTTGTTGCATTTTGTTTTTCATGTATTTGGGGTGTTTGAGTTTTGTTCTAATACAAAACCCTGTTTACCAAAAATTGTTACTTTTTATGTTAGAAACACCATGCTATGTCATTTTGAGGTTCTTTTGTTGTGCTGTGGTATTTTATGGTCCTCTTTATTTGGAAACTGGGTTTGTGAGCTTTTTATGCCATTGGTTTGAAGCAATACTTTTATGTCTTAGTGTTGGCATGGAAGGCTGAGTTTTATCTGTAATGGGTATGAGGGTTATCTTTGAAATTGCTTTGTGTTTAAGGTTTATAATTGGTGCTGGTAGAGTGGACCTTTCCATGTTCAACATGAAGCCTTTTATTTCCGTGTAGCTCCATGTAGCATTGAAACCGTGTCCGACACCAACCCATGTGTTCATATTCGGTCACTTCCATTTTTTGTTCTTCAAATTCTAATTATTATCGGTGTCTATGTGTCACTGGTATGTTAGTGCTTCTTAAGTTTGGTAAGATGTGATATAGCTTCTATTTTTGTCTTCTGTTAAGCATGTACATGTTAGCATTGGATAGTGTGGTTCCCTTATTTGTGTGGATACCCTTGGTTTTCCATCTTTTTTTTCTCTTCAATATATGTTATGCTTTATGGACTTATTGGATAGTGGGGTTGTCTTATCTTCTACATTTGTGGGGCGCCTTTGAGACTTGTGTCCTTTCACTTTCTTTCATATGTTTGTTAATATGTTTCCATCAAGGAGAAACTTTATCTGCTTGAAGCTACCTTAGTTTGATTTGAAGAGTTTATTAGTCATTCTTCTCAAAATACAGTTACCGATAATATAATTTAAGGTTTAAGCACTGTATGAAACTTTTTGTTGGTAATATATATATTTTTTGTTAATTTCATATATTTTATGGTATTCTAATATGTGGATTTTTTTTTCACTTTAAATTTGTCATGATTCTCTATGGTCAGAGCTTAGTGATAGGTTTTTAGTATATTTGAATATCGGAGGTCAAAGTTTCTTGTGAAAGAAGGCATTTTGAAAGTAAATGCATGGATCACGCTGACCATATGGCGTCTTACTACATGCACCAGAGAGGACTTGCTGGTTCTGGAGCACAACCCGAGTTACATGTTTCGTCGAGTTTTAATCATCTGTCTAATCCCAATCTACAATTTCAATCCAGCATTGGTGGTTGTGGCAGTAACATTGGATCCACATTACCTTTAGAATCTTCGGCAATTTCATCTCAAGGTGTCAATGTGAGTGGTCCTACCGGGGTACAGTCTGGAGAGACTGGAAAAAGGAGGAGAGGAAGGCCGAGAAAATATGGCGCTGATAGAGTTGTGTCATTGGCTCTTAGTCCAAGTCCAACACCGTCTAGTAATACTGGAACCGTGATGCAAGATGGCCCGAAACGAAGGAGAGGGCGTCCACTTGGGAGTGGGAAGAAACAACAATTGGCTTCTTTTGGTAAAATCTCTATTGCAATTTTTAGTTTGTTGTGTTAATAATGATAAATGTTTTGATGCATGAATGATATGTATGGGGTTTGGAGCAATTTTTCAAACCGGTCATGAAATTAAGTGAAATAAATATTCAAATGAACATAAAATGATCATAATCTAATCTTGTAAGGAAAAAAAATTCAATATTAAGAAGCTAAATAATAATTCATATTCATTGTTGACGGTTCTTTTGTTGTACTTTTAACATGACATTGATTTTTTATTGGGTTAAAAATTGTTTTAATCTGAATTGATTTTTATATTACAAAAAGTTAATTAAAAATAATACAGGTAGTTCCTACCGGTTCTTCATCAATGATTCTGGACTGGTCCAATTGATTCTTGTCAACAGCGGTTTGGGCCGCATGATAGAGTCGGGGTGGGGTGGAGTGGAACATTGTATAACCTCCCCCACACGTAGTGAGGTTGTATTGAATAGAGTTTTGGCCGCATTCGCGCATGAGACACGTGTTTTGCCAAGGAGGCGCCACTATAGGAGCACACTCGTTTTTAGGGTTTGAAAGATCCTAAAATGCCCTTAAAACAAAGTAGTTACAAGGGTATTTTTGGGGTTTTTGTTCAAATAAAACCCTAATATCCTCTTCTCTTCTGTGACCACAGAACAGATCCGCCGCTCTCGTGTTACTCTCCCTCTGCTGCGAATCAGCCGTTGTCCCAGCCCCCACTTTCTCACCAGTTTTGTGAATCGAAGATGCCTGGTTTAATTTCTAGTGGAACACCTCGCCAAATTGGTAATGGTTTTTTAAAGTATGGTTTGAAGTGTTTGTAAATTTATATTCCAATGTTATTCGCCGCTCGAAGTTTTATTTTAGTTGTTTATTTATGTTTACAGCTTGATTTGCTAATATCACAAAGACATGAATAAGCAATGTCATTTAAGTTCCATTGTATATTGTCATCAATTTTCTTGAATTTAAAGTTTTTTTGATCTCCGAGATTGAGATTCATTTTTAATCATGAATGAAAGAAAATCTGATTACAATTAAATTCAACGATTTTGATTTAAATGTTAATCTATATATGCCATGATGCCTTTCCTGATTCATTAGTTACTGCACCAGATTATAGGAATCAAGCTATTGAAAAATATTTTATCGATCTTGACAAATTAAATGTTTCTAACCAAGCATGCCTATACATGCGCGCACGCATGTATGTGTGATATAAAAATGTTTACAAGGTCGGTATTACGGTTTTATTATGATGTCATTAAAACATTCTGCACTGCAATTTGCAATGATCAAAGTTGCATGGCTCAAACACACGCATAAAATTATAAAATAACAAGAATTCCATCATGACAACATATGATGATACTTATATTATCGTAACAACATATAAGTTTGCTAAGTTCTCTCTATCTGCATTTTCTGATGTTTTTAGTGGTTACTTTTTGTCAGGTGAGTCGATGGATGGTGCAACTGGGACGGCATTCATTCCTCTTACGATCAACATTGCAAGTGGAGAAGTATGTCTTTTCTGTTTCGACAGTATATGTTTTAAATTTGTAGGGAAAATATATGGAAAAGAGAGGAAGAAGAAATCTGAATGACATTATGTTCTTTTTTTTTAAGACTTGGTTGGAATTCCGAATGACATTTTGATGATGTGTTGATATGCAATTTTTTACAATCAGTTGCCTAATAAACCCATTTGCATCTATCATTCTTAGTGAAGTACTTGTTATTAATTAGTACAAATTACCTATTTAAATAAATATTATCTTTTGACTCCGAGTCAAAAGGTAATATTATCTTCTGACTCAGTCTGAAAGTAATATTACCTTCTGATTCATATATGCTATTTTACTCTTAAAAGGAAAAGTTGACCTGATTTCCATTTATTCTTTTATGCTACTCTTTTCAAGTTTGTGCCAAATGTTGTGGTATTTATGTAAATATTGGAAATTAATCTTTTGAACTTTGTTTCCTCTTGCAGGACATTGCACCAAAAATCATGGAATTTTCTCAGGAGCGGGCTACTGCTTTATGTGTTATGTCATGTCATGGCAGGGTCTCGAGCGTGACCCTTCGTCAACCTTCAACTCAAGGTGGCACTATCAGACACGAGGTACGAACACTCTCTTACTGTTATTGTGTTAATTTAGATACACTTACAGGTCCATATGGAATTACTGTTTCTGTCATTATAAGGATGTTTATATATTTATTTATCTGTAGGTGTTAAATTGTCTGCTTGATTTTGATTTTGTTAGGGAAATTTTGACATTTTGTGCATGTCTGGCTCTTACTTGCCTACTGAGAGTGGCAGCTTAATGGACCGAACTGGTGGAATAAGTGTTATGCTTAGTAATCCTGATGGCAGTCTCTTTGGTGGAAGAGTTGCTGGAGTGATTGCTGCTTCTGGTCCTGTCCAGGTAACAACATTTTCAGGGTTATCATAAATCATAATATTATTCATAAGGTTTAAATAAGATTTTTTGTTTATAAGCTGTTTTCAACTTATTGTCGTAATCTCTTCAAGATAGGTTATGAAAACAGCTTATAGCTTATACGAGAATAGTTTAATTTTATCTTTTGATATAGAAATAATTTATAAATAGGTGCTTATCATTACAAGCGCTTATGCTATAAATTACATTTAGTGGTGTTTATTCAAACTGGACCTTAGTCTTTATAAAACAATACTTTAAGTTTTTAACCCTTAGGGTTGTAAGTAATGTGCTTTTATTATTATAGTAACTTATATTTGGCACATTAATCTAGTAGTCAGGCCCATTGAGTTAGAGTAGCCTATATAAATAGATTAGTGCTCGTACATTATTTATAACTTAAAATATATTATTCAGTTTTCACATGTCATCAGACCTCTTGATTTTGAAGGGCCTTTGCTTTTGCATAAATCTTAGTTGTCGTCTATGTTTTTTTTTTTTTTTTTTTTTTCCGCCTTCATTGCAATTTCTTTTGTCTGTCTTCCTTAAAAAATACTGTTCACCACAGATGCTATTGTTAAGAGTCTCACATCAGACAATATGTGGTTTGAACATATGCTTATAAGTGTGAATATTTCTCACCTTTCAGACAGGATTTTGTAAGGTTGTACTAGGCCCAACCACAATTCTTAGAGGTTGGAAATTTTGCCTTAATTGCGGTCTGCCCCAAATCACAGAATTGCGGCATTTGAGTTGCCTTAATTGCAGTCTCTATAACAACTTCACTGTGTTGGGTTTTAAGGGGGTGGATTTAGTCCCACATTGCTTAGAGATATGGACCCGTATTGTGTTTATAAGTGGGAGGCAATAATCACTTTACAAGTCTGTTTTATATGGTTGAGTTTGGCCCAACCACAATTATAAGATGGTATAGAGCCTATCCTCTCTTGTTGTGCTTTCTGCATCGTCCAGACTTCAAGCTCATTGAGGCCCGAGCGTGAGTGGGTGTGTTGGAAATTCTGCCTTCAATGCGGTCTGTCCCTAGTCGCCTAATTGTGGCATTTGGATTGTCTTAATTGCAACCTCCAATACCCACGTTGCTTTGAGACATGACCTAATGTTTATAAGTGGAGACAATTCTCACCTTATAAGTCGGTTTTGTAGAGTTGAGTTAGATCGAACCCAAAAATATTCCTAGTAGATGATATTCTTATAAAGGTAGCAAATCAATGCAGTGTCCAAATAAGTCTATTTATAATTTGACGAAATGTTCTTATTCTGCAATGTTATTTAGTATAAAATGTTATACTAAATACTGCTATAACGATGCCATTTGTAGTAAACTTAGTCAATCAATTCATGCACCAAGCTAAGGAGACTTGTTAACAAGAGGTGCACTAGGAATTGTGCAGTATTTGAAAGGAACTCATGGTAGAGAAATAAGGTTTGAATGGAATCCAAGTGTGGGTTTAGAAGCATATATTGCTGCTTACTATGTCGGGTTAATTGTGGATAATAAGAGATCAACTTCAGATATTGCACCATTTTGGGTGAGAATCTTGTGACGGGAAATAGTATAAAAGTAAAGTGTGGTAGTCAAATCCAGTGCTCTAACGATGAAGTAGAGTTCCGAGCAAGGATACAAGTGATAAGTGTTCTACTATGGTTGAAGATCATTTTGGAAAGGTTAAAGTGGGATGAACCAATGGAATTTTATTGTGATTATAAATCTGCTTCTAGTATAGTCTTCAATTCAGTGTTCCTATTATTATTACTATTATTATTATTATTATTAAATTGTTTTGAAGCTGAGTATGTGACTTGTGTTTCAAGCCAGACAATTTTAATGATCTTTCAACTAGTTTTTTTCTTAAGAAAATGGTATGATAAGTATGATTGATTGATAGTGTAGAAAACTTAACACAGTTTTATATTCATATATCATTTTTCAGCTATTTTCTGAACACAGAATTCATGATTGTAGGTGATGGTTGGGACCTTTCTCATTGGAAGATTGAAGGGAAGGAACAAGAAGAGAAAGGAACGCTCAAATGATGCAGAAGTGGCTGCTGAATCATCTGAGCGAGGAGCTCGCAATCCTGGCGCACTGAACAACACTTCACCTAATCAGAATCTGACTCCAACCTCATCCTCAAGCCCTTGGTCAGCAGCAGCGTCGCGTCCAATGGAGATGCGTGATTCCAATGCTGACATTGACTTAATGCGCGGTTGACGCGTATTGTGTATATCTGTTTCAGGCTCATGACAGTAAGTACCAACATCAGGATAGAGCTACCTGACTGATAAATCTCACTTAGCTACCCTTCACCCATGATTTCACTTGGTGTTGTCATGATTTTTAGGTGTCAGGAATTTTAATGTGATGGTTTCAATTGGTAATGATAATAATAAATGGCCTGCTTGAATAAAATAGCTTTGAGAATGCAAGTGTGTCAATTTTATTTGAGTTTCGTCGTCCATTTAAATAGTTTTAGGCTATGTTTGTTTCCGCGGTGGAAAACTAATAAACGTTACGGCAGCTTAAATAAGTTCATGCAAAAATTGTTAAGTCAGGTTTTGATGTAGCTATTAAAAGGTGTGATTGACATTGTGATAGAAGAAAAGTTTATGTTGTGGTGAGTATAAAGAAATAAATAGGAGGTTGACAAATGATGACTCCAAATCAAGAAAATGTGGTTGTCCTTTCAAATTGCACAACTATTATATGATGACTAATGTTTGAAAGTTTTATATGCGGTGTAGAATACATAATCATGAATTGGATCATATGACCATCTGTTTGTCGGCCATATAGATTGCGAAGAGAAGAAATTTTTTGTACCGCGAAGAGAAGAAATTTTTTGTTGAGATGAAAATGAACATGGTTCTGTTCAAAAACATACTCAGACGAAAATGAACATTCAAAAACATACTCTTGACTTTGAAAAGAAAAATGCCCAACTGTGTAACAAATAATAAGTAAGTCCATAATGTTGACACAAAAATAACAAGACTATAATGGGTCTAAAAACTAAAATGAAATAAGCCTTCCTAATGGTATCAATTATGCGATTGAAGAAGAAAGGCCATGGCGGTAAGAATTCAAAAGAGAGAAAAATGCAATGTATCAATTATGTCAAAAAGGCTGTCAAATATATATGAGAATTTCTTATGGTACTCTATATAGGAGAAAAATATCCTACGAAAAACCAAAAATGCTTTCTGGAAGTGTATTTTCAGAATATATTTTTTTTTTGAAAAATTACTTTTTATAGAAAATCAGAAATATACTTCCAATTCCTAATTTATAAATAATCAGGTGCATATGTATTGATCACATTTTAAATTGAAACTTGAAAGGTGAGCCTCCAACGAAAAATTAGAATTAAAGGCTGGTGTAGAGGACATCACAATACAACATCCTAATATTATCATATTATGCCAGGGTAGGAAATACAGTTGCTGTCGTTTTGCTACCAGCTTGTAAGTGTCGTTGAGAGAAACCGAAAATGTATTTTCGGAATCAATTTTACTATAAAATAAAAAAAAAAATTAAAATCGAATGAATTATATATGTGTGGGAATACGCATTAAAAATATATTTTTGATTTTCAAATATATTATTGAAATTTTGCTGTTGTGTCTAAGAAACACTTAGGAAGCATTAAAAAATCCTCAATATATATTACAATCTAAATGGCGTAAGGGCTAGTAAAACCCAATAAACTAATATATAAACTAATCAGTCAATTACATGTTTATCTGATATAACTGAAAAATTCACGTTAAATAATGATTTGATGATAGAAAATGTCTTATATTTGTTTGATTTCAACATCAATTTGATTGTCAAGATTGACTAGAGGACGCAATTGTGTTATAACATTTAAGTATTTCTTGACAATATTAGATTAACATAATTGACATTTGTGAGTGATTATGATCAATACAAAAAGTGAGGTACCATATTGTGCTAAGGGTTTTCAAAATATGGTAAAAACTCAATATTGATCAAACAGTAAAATTGATAAAGATGTGATAATTCTTGAGTTTTATTAAAGTCCTTTTATGAAGAAAAAAAGATATTGTGTAATGCATCATATTGTCTTCGGGATTATCTATTGACTCCACAAATTAATACGAATCTTTTCAGATTTGTCCTCACTCACACGTTTTCAGATAAACTTTCCAGAAGGTCACTCATCTCAAAATTGCTCCAAGTTAAACACGCTTAACTGTAGAATTCTTACGGAACGGGCTACCAAAAAGAAGATGCATCTTATTGGTATAAGTAGTACCAATCAATTCGTATAAGCATTCCTTCAATATGCAGTCCCACATCCTTAAGATCCCTCTCATTCTGATGTGATGACCACTCTTCGTCCCTTTTGATCTCGAATGTTACATGCGATGCAACCACCCTCCGCCTTCTTCAGCCTCGAATGTTACATATTGCATCTAAGAAATTGTGTATCTATTCCAAAAATATAAAATATTTAAAAGAAGAGATACATATCTTGAATACGAGCAAAGCAGTCATATTTTAGGCTTCCTAAGGTATATTTGGTCATAAAGTTGATAAGTATGTTGTGTATTTGATAAACTAGACTCCTACAAAATTGCTTCAAGACAAGTCTCAATATGAGGTGCTATATGGTACTTAACTCAATCTTAGAACATTGAAGACATTTGGAAGTTTTTGTTATTCAACTACTTTATCATTACAAAGACATAAATTTGATCCTATTACTTGGAAGTGTGTGTTCCTTGGTCATAAACAAGGCATGAAAGACTTTGTCACACTTGATCTACATTTTAGAACTATTGACATCTTTAGAAATGTAGAGTTATATGAACATGATACCTCATACAACCATAAACTTGATAAAAACCAATACCTTGAACCACCATACAACACAAATTGAGTTTGAATATGATAAGCATTGAGCACAATACCATGAACCATACTAAACTAAAAATCGAGCATGACCATTTCATTTATATTCCCGCATCAGAAATGGATTCAAGTAGTGTTCCACCACCTCTGTCTACAACATCTAGAATATCCAACAGGCCTAGAAAGACTCCTATATATCTCAATGACTACGTGTGCCATTACGTCATCACCATACCTTATACCTTGAACTCTTACATAAACTATGTTATCTTGTCATCTTCTTAGATTTAATACACCACATCTCTCTCACCAATTGCATTGAACCTACTTTTTACACTCTGCTAGTAAAGATCCTAGATGGGTATCAACTATGCAAACATAATTAGATTCCTTAAATGCCAATCACACTTGGGAATTCACACGATCTTTACTAGAAGAGGATGATTCCATATGTAGCAGGCGGGCTTTCAAAGATCAAGAGATATGCATATGGGAGAATAGAAAGATACAAAGCCAAGATGGTTGCTCAAGGTTTCACACATTATTGAAGGCCTAGACTAACACTTTAACTTGCGGGTTGTTTATTGTTAGAATATTACTTGCGTTGGCTTCAATTAAAGGATGGTATTTTCATCAACTAGATGTGAACAGTACTTTCCTTCTTGGAGATCTTATTGAAGTTGTCTATATGAAGGTACCTCAAGGAGTCACTCCTCCCAAACCAGGACAAGTGTGGAGGCTCAAAACTTCTCTATATGGTTGCAGACATGTCATAAGGTGTTGCAATTTACTTTATAAAACCATAACAAATGAATCTAATTTTCTTAATTTATAACTGAATGCTTACTCGTTATAACATTTACATAATATACACATAATTAATTACACAAGTATTAATTACAGCACAATCACAAACATAAGATATTTCATCTTCTACAATCAATCAAGCATCTGACCAAGTAATGTCAAGACCACCCCATTGTTCTTTAGGCACATTTAAAGCTTTCCACACGGCCTTGGAAGCATCAACAATGTTGTTTGGACAAGGAGGTTGGTAATCATGATCTTTATCGCATCCCTTTGTGGAGTCACACTCGTCAACAACCATGGCCACCACACTTTTTCCATTAGCACTGATGGTAATGTTTTTGAGGCACCTGCTCTCGTGGTTGAACCATCCGGTGGAAAGTGCAACTACTGGAGTATCGTCGGAATGATACTGCTTGTCACATTCTGAAGGGCCGCCTCCATCTCCTCCTTTTTGGAAACTGTTAAGAGTGAGATATGCAGATATGCTTTCGTGTAAGTAGATACAGATGGAGAACATTGATAAGTAGTGTACATTTTTCCTTGTACACAACAATCAGAATCATTCTCTTGATTGCATTGTCCCTGGAGGAGCTTTCTTTCCTTCGATTCTACCGCTTGGGCGGCAACTCTGAGCTTTAGAATGCACATCAAGTTGTCAATTATGAGACAGACAAACAAAAGAAAAGAAACATTGGGGGC